GCGTTAGGAGCACCAAAGCCTGGGCAGCGTGGATAGAGGTCCTGGACTGCCCAGACAACAAGACCCCGTTCTCAGCCTCACTGATGTGGTCCAAAGGAAAGCAGAGCAATACGTTTGGTACCAGCTTGGCTGCAGGAGTTGCCGGAAGGAGGCATACAAGGCGCCATCCAACCATCTCAGGGACTCCACTCCAAACTTGTTCAGGGTTTACTGTTTAATATGAGTTTCCTGTTAAAACAGTCATTGATTGTTAATTTAGCACTCAAAAAAATGCCTCATCTGAAACCCTGGGGAGCTGCTGCCAGCCAGTGTAGACGGTACTAAGATAGATGGGACTGACTTGGTATAAGGCCACTTCTTACGATCTGCACAAATTAGTGTGTGGTGTCTCTAGCTTCTGGGCACACCCGCCATGTGGCCCTCAGAATGTTGATACGGCTGAATGTGGCCCTCAGTCCCAAGAAGATTAGCCAGCCCTACTCTTGAAGTTAAGGGACGCGGGTGGCGCTGTGGGTTAAACCACAGAGCCTAGGACTTGCCAATCAGAAGGTTGGTGGTTCGAATCCCCGCGATGGGGTGAGCTCCCATTGTTCGGTCCCTGCTCCTGCCAACCTAGCAGTTCAAAAGCACATCAAAGTGCAAGTAGATAAATAGGTACCACTCCGGCGGGAAGGTAAATGGCATTTCTGTGCGCTGCTCTGGTTCGCCAGAAGCGGCTTAGTCATGCTGGCCACATGACCCGGAAGCTGTATGCCAGCTCCCTCGGCCAATAAAGAGAGATGAGCGCCGCAACCCCAGAGTCGTCTGTGACTAAACCTAATGGTCAGGGGTCCCCTTTACCCTTTAGTCTTGAAGTTAAATTCCTGAGGGATGTGTGTGTGTCGCATTACATCTCTAATAGCCTTGAAGATTTTGAATGTAGAAAGACTTGGAAGCCTAAATATTATCAACTGGTTACTTTTTATTATATTTTATTGTTGTTTTCATTAGATGTTTATTTTCTGTGATTGCATTTTTTATAATTGTAAAAAATTGCTTTTAAAAAATAAATATCATTAGAGTTTATACAGAAAAATACAAAATTATTGTCACCCTTTTTTTTGTCCAGACTGAAACATTAATCCAGAGGCAAAAATGAGAGAGAAGAGAAAAAGACAGAAAGACAGACAGAAAGAGGAAAGGATAAAAAGGAATTAAAAGAGAGAATGTGAAAAGAGAGAGAGAGAAAAGGAAAAAGAGAGAGGTTAAGAAGCTTCTTAAAAATGGTTTTGAATGCTGTATCTTAAATAGATGTAGCCTGCCCTGGGAACTTAGGGTGATGGGCAGGTGATAAATTAAAATACAAAAAGCACAAACAACAAGGCACCACCCAGCACCTATCATTTCATGTGCTGGGAAGACTTTGTTTTGGACTCGCTCACAGACTCACTGTGCTGTTGTTGTTTTTCTCTCCCTTTTTTTTTGCGATCTTTTAATAATGGACTGCAAGAGCCAGAGCACCTTGGGGAGAGAATTGGCTGCCCTTAATTTCACCTGGGAAATGTTGGACAGGATGCAGAGCCTGTCATTTCCACCAGATAAAATTGGGGCGCTCTTGGAACACCCCCCTCTGTCCTCACCTTGAGGCTCACAGCTGCTTTCTGACAGCAAGCCGGGCGCTTCAGTGTACCTGCGTGTGCATTTACAGCCAAGGTGCACCAGTGGTTTGACTTCAGATGTGAGGGAGGTGGAATCTAAAGTTCATAGAGTCTCCCCAGGGGCCATCTAGTCCAACCCCCTGCAGTGCAGAAATCACAGCGAAAGAATCCCTGACAGATGGACGCCTGTTGATAAACCTCCAGCGAAGGGGAGGGTGTTCGTTCCACAGTCAAACAGCTCTCCCCATCAAGAGTTATTCCTGATGTTTACACGGAATCTCCTTTCTTGCCATTTTAATCCATTTCTCCGGGTCTGACTCTCTACAACAGCAGAAAACAAGCTTTCTCCATCTTCCGTGTGTCAGCCCTAGAGATATTGGAAGATGGCTATCACATCTCCTCTTCTCCAGGCTAAACATACCCAGCTCCCTCAACCGTTCCTCATAAAGCTTGGTTCTCAGACCCTTGATCATCTTGGTCACCCCTCCTCTGCACATGTTCCAGTTATTAAACTGTGGTGCCCAGAACTGGACGCATGACTCCAGGTGGGGATCTGACCAAGGCAAATAGAGCAGTACTATGACTTATCCATAAAGGTAAAGGGACCCCTGAACCTTAGGTCCAGTTGTGACCGACTCTGGGGTTGCGGCCCTCATCTCGCTTTACTGGCTAAGAGAGCCAGCGTACAGCTTCCGGGTCATGTGGCCAGCATGACTAAGCCGCTTCTGGCGAACCAGAGCAGCGCACGGAAACGCCGTTTACCTTCCCGCCGGAGTGGTACCTATTTATCTACTTGCACTTTGAGGTGCTTTCGAACTGCTAGGTTGGCAGGAGCAGGGACCGAGCAATGGGAGCTCACCCCGTCGCAGGGATTCGAACCGCCGACCTTCAGATTGGCAAGTCCTAGGCTCTGTGGTTTATCCATATCTGCACAAAAAAGCATGTTTTTAAAAGTCCTCCCAAATTTCTGCAAAAAGCTTTAAGAAGAGTCAGAATACAGACTGCAGGGATGGATGGGGAGGCAAAGTTCCATTGCTTAGGATACATTTTAATCTAGCCTGAGACTGGTTGAACTGTCATGGCTTCTGTCCCCAAAAGGATTCTGGGAACTTTTCAGCAGCATACACCCCCTAAGGCCTGCCTCACAGAACGTTTTTGCGAGTCTGCGATGGCAGGGTATGTGTGTGGGGGGGTGGCGTCCTACAAAGCGCTCTCTTTGTACTGTGATTGGGACTGCACCCGACGCATCGTCGAGAGCGGATCTTGGAGATTATGATGGGATGCAGGAAAGTCTCTTGGGTATGTCGAACAGAACCTTTACACATCAAAGCTCAGTGCCTCAAATTATGCCTCGTAAGAAGTCGGCGCAGCAGCAGTGGAATAACATAACGTGCCCCGGGGCATGCGCAGAGTGCCTACTCTTCCACGCTGCAGCTGAGATGAAAGGGAAATGGAGATGTGTGTGGCTTCTAGATATTAATGAATTATGATATGTGAGGGGGGAGGGGAGGGGGAGGGGAAAGAGTTACGGTGCTTTCCACTAAAGCTTCAGAGCTGATCAGCAAAGCTGTCTGTCTTGAGAGGAATACCTCCAGGCGCCCTCCACAGCAGTGTATGTGTGTATCTGACTGGCTGGAACTGCAACTGCTCCACAACACAGACACCCCTTTGTTCTAGCTAGGTGTCATTCCTGCCTTATTTTTTTCCTCTTCGAAGCAGAGGATCGTAGGGTTGGAAGGGACACCAAGGGTCATCTAGTCCAACCCAGTGTTGTTGACACTGACTGGCAGCAACTCTCCTGGGCTTCAGGCGTGGCTCCCTCCCTGGAGATGCCACCAGGGATTGAACCTGGGACCTTCTGCATGCAAAGCATCAGCTCTGCCCCTGGGCTGCAGTCCTTTGAAATTGAAGCAAGATTCTAGTCCTCAAGGTTCTGAGTAAAGACTGAAAGAGGAATATAGGAAGCTTCTTCATCCCGAGTCAGGCCACTGGTCCATCTAGCTCATTAATGTCAACACTGGTTGGCAGCAGCGGCACTCCAGGTTTCAGGAAGGGGATATTCCCAACTCTCCCTGCAGAGACCTCTGGGGAAATGAACCTGGGAGCTTCTGCATGCGACGCAAGGGCTCTGCCACAGACCTACGTTCAGAACATGGCTCCATCTAGCTCAGTGTTGTCTACACTGACTGGCAGCAGCTTTCCAGGGTTTCAGGCTCCATACCCGGAGGTGATGCTCCGTGGGATTGAATCTGGGACCTTCTGCACTCAAGGCAGGTGCTCTACCACTGAGCTGCAGCCCTTCCCCAAGCAGAAGTAAAGGCTGGCCCTTCACACTGCCTTTAGCATCCTCAACTCCTTCCACACCTTTGCTAATGGCAGGGCCGGCCTTGGGAAATGGGGATGTCAGGTGCTCCAGAGAGAACGGAGAGGGGGGAAGGATGGTGATGGACGAAGAGGAGGAGGAAAAGAAGAAGAAGAGGGGCCTCTTGCAAAACTGCCCATCCGAGCAGCCGGGGGTTTTATAGGCTTCCTGCAAGGGGAAGGGGGGCGTAAACCTGCCAAATCTCCAGGCGGAAGGAGAGGTGGTCCCTTAGGGAGCAGGGCACGGATGCCCATTCCTTGGGCCAGCGCTGCACTGCGGTGTCTGTGCCACCCCACCCCACCCCCAATTCCTAACCTCGAATCAATAGGCAGGCAGCACCCACCGCACTCGTCTCCCTCCCCGTTACCGAAGCACCATTTCCATGGAAACAGCCTGAGAGCGCTTTGCTTATTGGAGGGCTGGCTCCATCGCTGCATCTCCGAGGCCGAGGGGAGTCTCTCTCTCTTTCATCCCCCCCTGTCTCTCTCTCTCAAAAAAAATTCCGATTATTACTATTATTGCAGATCGGGGAAGGGGAGGGGGCGGCGGCTCCCTCCCCACCCTCAGTCCTTCTTCTGAGCCAGGATCGGGCCCAGCTGCCTCTTTGGAGGGGGGACCCCCGCCCCCCCCCCATATCCCCGCCTGGTGACAGCAGCGCCCGCCCTAGCCAGCCGGATTCGCTGCCTGCATCTCCTTTTGTATGCGGCGAGGGGCGGGGAGGCGCCAGCCCCCGCCTCCGCCTCCTCCCTCCTCCTCCCTCCTCCTCCGCCTTCCTCCTATGCTAAGCCAGCGCCAGGCGAGAGCCGCTCGCCAGCATCTCCGGCTGGCCAGTCCTCTCTCGCCATCCCTGCAGTCAAAGGGCCGCCCAGGGATGCCTTTTCAGCTGTGATGCCCCCCAGCAAGCGGCTGGTGGAGCCCCCTGGTCCAATCCTGGCAGCAGCATCAGACACCCCCGGATTGGTCCCTTGGGTGCTGCCGCTGTCTCCCCGACACCCAAAGGGATGAAGAGGCGGGAGGAGCCCTCTGCAGAGAGCCAGCAGGGAGCCATGCCGGGCAGCGGGGGTGCTGGCAAGGGGGAAGGCGTTAGGGCAGCCCTCCAGGAGGAGGAGGAGGACGAGGAGGTCCCAAGCTGGGGGTCCTCGGAGCAAGCCCCCCCGGAAAGCGCCGCGCTCGGGCACTGCCAGGTGCCCGCATCACCCCAGGTAAGATCAGCCGGCATTTAGGAAGGAGGGTCCAGCGTTGTGATTCTTTTAGGATCCATGGAAGAGCCTCCTCCTTCCAAGGCAGTCTATCTCTATGTTCCTGAAGGCAGTGAGAAACCTGGGGAGGGTCGCGTTCCGTAAGCACCTGGCTGTCCAGCATTGGAAACAGGTTACTGGGTCTTTGACATGCCTATGGAGTGATAACATCTAGCTGAGTCTTGGGAATGCACTGGAATAGTTAGATGTGCTGGTAGCTGCTTGCTTAGATTGCCTCCCCCAAGGGTTAGACAAATTCACGGAGGATTTACCTCCTCATCCCAGGGCAGTATACCTTCATGCCAGGTGCTGGGAGGCAAAGAGGAAGAAGAGGAGGCTGTTGCAGCATTATTATTATTATTATTATTATTATTATTATTATTATTATTATTTTATTTTGTATTTTCCTTCTGAATATCCTTAAAGGATCTGGCTGGTGACGAAGCTTTGCATCTTGGTTTCCACAGACAGTCTCTTCTTTATTCACTCCCTTGATGGACTCTTGATTTTCATGACCAGGCTGCCAAATTAAAATCATGCCATTTTTAAATGAACTTATTGGCATGCATTTAACTCAGAGATCACCCATATTTTTTTAAAAAAAAATGAAATTACTGGAATGCATTTAACTCAGAGATCACCCATATTATTATTATTTTTAAATTAAATTAATGGCTTGCATTTAACTCAGAGATCACCTAGATAGATAGATAGATTCCCCCTCAGGAATATCTTTCTCCCCACAAACCTGTAGCTGACGAACGAGGGATGCAGTAAAGTCTCCTTCTTCACAGCCATGAAGGAGGAACCATGTTTTTCCCACGTTGTAGCTGAGCTGCAGAGACACTGACGGTTTTAAAAATCCTGTTGAAAACGCAGACGCCCCCTCCCCACACTTCCCAATTGGGGTTCATAGCCAAGCAGTAAGAAGCTCTTGGTTGAGGGTTCTGGGGTTCTGGGCTCCCTTCCCTTCCGTGGAAGCAAAGGAGAAATCTGCAAGCCATGCTGCCTCAGTGGAACATCCATCTCCAGAGACAGTATACCTGTGAATTCCAGTTGCTGACTGCCAAATAGGAACCTAAGAAGGGACTTCTGGATCAGGCCAGTGTCCCATCTAGTCCAGCATCCTGTTCTCACAGTGGCCAACCAAATGGGAAACCTGTAAGCAAAACCTGAGCCTTCCCCTGTCCTGTGGTTTCCATCAATTGCTATTCAGAAGCAATTGCTGCCTCCGACTGTGGAGGCAGAACATGGCCATTGTGGCCATCAGCCATTTGTGGGCTCAGCCCCACATCTCCTGCTTGTGGGCTTTCCAGAATAGGCATCTTTGTTGCTACTGTGAGAAGAGAGTGCTGTGCCGGACAGACCTTTCACCTGGGCTCTTTTTATCTGGGAGCTGGCCATAGCTAGGTATCGTTGGACTCCAAGCACTCGTCAGCCCCAACCAGCAGGACCAATGGTCAGATGTGATGGTAGGAGGGGCTCACAGCTTCTGGGTGGCACCATGGTGACTATCCCAGACCTGCTAAGCATCCAAACAGGTTTGTGAATAACCACCCATACGAGCCTAGTAATAACTGGTTTGGGGCAAGCAAATAGCCAGGGTTTGTGCATAAGGCTATAATGTTCCTGACCCCCCCAGCTGTTGGCGTTGAAATGATTCATGTTTCTATAAATGACCTCATGGGCTAGTATATTTTTTGGGGGGGGATGAGGCTGGAAGCTTCTATGGACATCTTTGCAAGTTTACCTCTCGCATGTTTGTCCTCCATTATCTCAATAACTGCTTCAGAACCCATCTTTGATAGAAGGCAGCTGATGATCTTAAGAGTCATAGAATTGTAGAGTTGGGATCCCAACCCCTTGCAAAGCCAGAACCGCAGCTAAAGAATCCTTTGACTGATGCTTGTCCAACCTCTGCTAGGAAACTGCCAGTGAAGGAGAGTCTGCCACCTTCTGAAGTTATCTTACTATCTGCTAATGGAACTTGGGGCACAGAGTCGTCAGAGGACAGTGGCTGGTTTAAAGCCAGCTGGTCAAGCTGAGGTGCCAAACAGGGTCCCTTTGCAGCTCAGTGGCAGATCATCTGCCTCGCATGCAGAAGGTCCCAGGTTCAATCCCCAGTGGTCTCTCCAGATGGGGCTGGAAATACCCCTGGCTGAAACCCTGGAGAGTAGCTGCCGGTCAGTGCTGGCAGTCCTGAGCTGGATGGACCTGGCTGAGGATGGGCCACAGCTCAGTGGCAGAGCATCTGCTAGACACGCAGAAGGCCCCAGTTTCAATCTGTTGTATTTCTAGATAGGCCCCCAGTTTGCAACCCTAGAGAGCCACTGCCAGTCAGTGTCGACAATACTGAACTAGATGGGCTGACTATAAGGCAATCTGATGTTCCGCATACCCATAACCATTATACAACACTTCCTTTTGGTTGTTGCCTGAAGTTTTTCTTTGTGGTTGCCACAATCCTGCTAGATTGTTAGGGAGGGATGGGGGCCATGCCCTCCCCCAGTCAAAACCGTTGTCCTGCCCTTTCAGCATTTGAGAGACCCCCAAGTTGTTTATGAGGGGCAGCAACACTCTGGGGGTCTCTAGAGCAGAGAAGCATCTTTCCTGAACTCCCCCCCATTTTTTTAAAAAAGACCAGGAGCCAAGGTTTGAATCGGAGACATTCTGCATGCAGAGCAGGTGCTCTAACACTGAGCTACAGCTTAAGAATAAATTAAGGGATCCACCTGAAGGTTGGGCTCTTCTCTGAAATAAATTAAGATCATGGTGTCTGGATCAGGCCCCAAAGAGGCTCATCTAGTCTGGCACAGCAGCCAACCAGAGGCTTCTGCTCCCAGACCCCCCAAGCAGGAAACTGAGGGCAGCAGCAGCCCCTCCCCACTTTGAAATCCCGGGAGAGGCAAGGCTTCGATATGCCATTTGGCCAGGAAGCTCACTGGATGACCCTTGCCTGGGCTAGTCAGCATCTCTCAGCCTAACCCACCTCACAGGGTTGTTGTGAGGGTAAAAGGAGGAGGGGAAAAGCCATGTGCAAAACCTTGAGCTCTTTGGAAGAAAAGGTGGTGTATAAATGTAAGAAGTTGCTGCTGCTGCTGCTGCTGCTGCTGCTTCTGACAGTGGAAGGAGTACACAGCCGTCGTGGCTAATAGCCATCAGCAGCTTCCGTCATGAATTTGATTCATAGCATTATAGAGTTGGAAGGGACCCAAGTGGCCATCTAGTCCAACCCCCCTGCAAAACAGGAATCACAACTAAGGAATGGTTTCCATGCTGTCCAAAATGAGGAAAGGGTGTCTGTGGTTACTAGCCACGATGGCTCTTCTCTGCCTTCACAGTTGGAGGCAGCGATGCCTCTGAATACCAGTTGCTGGAAAACACAGGAGGGGAGAGGGCTCTTGGGCTCGAATCCTGCTTGCTAGTTTCCCAGAAGATGCGTCTGGTTCGCTGCTGTGAGAACAGGATGCTGGATTTGATGGGCCCTTGGCTCTTCTTCTTAGTGCCCTTTTCATCATTCACTGGTGACTTCGCCCCTTTGCAATGGGGAGTTCGGACAGAACCAAGAATCTTCCTCTCTCAGGTTAAGCTCCTTCTGCGGCTGTTGCAGTTCTGCAACGCTATACAGCTAAGCTTCCATTCTCCACCCTGGAGAGGCAAAGAGATGACAGCCTGTTCTTTCACCCTGCCGGCTGGCAAAATCTCCGCTCCACCGGGTCCTGTTTTTTGGGGAGAAATTGGGCTGGTTCCTTCCCGCTGCATCCCTGCGTCACAGCGAAGGAGGCAGGGCCTGTGTTGCTCTTTCCAGAACAGACACTTCTCCCTCACCTTAGAATGGGGTGATCTTGCAAGGAAGCCTATCAGCTGTATGGGAAGCCTATCAGCTGTATGGGAAGAGCACCCCACCTCCCCAGATGTCTGATTCTTATTATGTTAAAGTCTTCACACACACCCCAATACAAATCCAGGGGAAAATGAATATTTTTACTGCTGAAAAACTGGTCTTCTAGAAGGTCCAGGAAGGGGATAACCTTGCCACAGGTTTTGAGGACCTCTGGTCTTAGGAGCAGGGGTCAGGCACCCCCTCTCTGGACTGCTGCCAAGTCTCATTTTGGAGGAAGTTCTTTCACTCTTCCATATCCCAGGGGTTGCTCGAATGGGCCAAACTGGTCAAAGGCACATAGCAGACCCTCCAAGTGTCCCTATTTTCCAGGGACAGTCCCAGATTTATAGAAGCCATCCCGGTTTCTGATTTGATCCCAGAATGTCCCACTTTTCCACTGGACCTCCCTATTTTCATCAGAGAAATGTTGGAGGGTATGGAGACATCTGAACCACCTGAAGGCAGTTTTTAAATGCTTAATGTTTTATTATGCATTTATATATGTTGGAAGCTGCCCAGAGTGGCTGGGGCAATCTAGTCAGATGGGCAGGGTATAAATAGTAAAAGTAATAGAAGTAGTAGCAGACACTCCGTGTCCCTATTTTCCAGGGACGTCCCTGATTTAGAGAAACCGTCCCGGTTTCTGATTTGATCCCAAAATGTCCCACTTTTCCTTAGGATGTCCCTATTTTCATTGGAGAAATGTTGGAGGACATGGAGTTATGAGACCTCCTGAGCGAAGGAGATAAGTAACTATACAAACTTTAGAAGACATCTGAAAACAGCCCTGTATAGGGAAGTTTTTTTTTTTAGTGTTTAATGTTTTATTATGTCTTTAGGCACTGTGGGTTAAACCACAGAGCCTAGGACTTGCCGATCAGAAGGTCAGCGGTTCGAATCCCCGTGATGGGGTGAGCTCCTGTTGCTCGGTCCCTGCTCCTGCCAACCTAGCAGTTCGAAAGCATGTCAAAGTGCAAGTAGATAAATAGGTACCCCTCCGGCAGGAAGGTAAATGGCGTTTCTGGTTCGCCAGAAGCGGCTTAGTCATGCTGGCCACATGACCCGGAAGCTATATGCCAGC